CTTAGGAATTGTCTGATTAATAATTCATAAATTCTAATAATGCGAGACCAGCCGCAAGCAATCATAAGCACGTGATCCTCTCAAAATTAGATTATAAATAAACTTTGCAAAATCAATGGCCCATCATTATTTATTCCTTACATATTGAATTATTGAACACTTTAAAGCTCTCTAAATATAGATTTTGGACCAACAAAATCTAGAACAGCCTGGAGTGAGCAATCAGGAAGGAAATGTTAACTTATTTTCCTATATTCTTTTAATTTACTGTCAGATCTATTCTCCTGACAAAGACAAAGAAGATGGAGCACAGATTGAGTGTTCTCAGTCTTAAAGCCAGCTGCTTCTGTTCCCTTGAAGCTACGAAATGGGGGAATCCAGGTGTCTTTTTTTTCTGTCTAGCCTGGGAGAGAAGAACAATTCTCACCAGATTACATCTGCTGATGATTAGTGGGAAAAAAACACAAACCCTGAAGCAAGATGCAGGCAATTCAAGATCCACAAAGAAACCTGTTCGGGCTCTGATGGGATCAAACATGTGGTGGGTAGTTTATCTGTGCAAACTAAAATGCACAAAGAAGACTTTTAATTTCAAGTTAATAGTGCAACAAGTCTTCGGCGGTTTAAAAGCATCCACCTGGGGGTGGGAGTTAGGACATGTAAATTTAATCTTGTTTACATTAATGGTTGTGTCACACTGACCTGTGAAACAGTAGAACCAATGGTGTTTGCAGTCATTGACATCAAACCCAGTGCAACATATTTTGACATGCATTGGCATGTCTTAAAGTTAAAAAACGCAAAGGCACATATAAAATTTGAGGACTGCAGTGAAAGATTATCAGTGTATCATTTTAAATGTGGTCTGACTATCATTAATGACTAATTTAGGATGATTTTTAAAACTATATAATTTGTATTTACTGTAATGCCTCCTACAAAGTGAACTTGTCTATGTACACCACAAGTCATTTAGATGCATTTTATTATTCGGTTAGTCTAGACTACCTGTCTGGAGCTTGACATTATATTTTTCATTACATATGGAAAAGAGTAGCTATGTGATTTTGGAATGTTAGTCTTGTTACACTTTTTGTATAGCGCTTTCATATGGTTTTGAAAAAAGTTTCTTCAATTTTCAAGAAATGTTTACATTTTTACATCCTAATCATGTATCACTTTCATTTTATTATAAAAGATTGAACTTGTTTAAAGTCAGTTGTGAGTTTAATATAAAGTACACTGTAAAATATTGCTGTAAAATTTACAGCATTACCTGCAGTCTTTACAGCAATACTGGCAAAAATTATAAGCGCACTGTACAACCCCAATTGCCATTAATACTGTCAATTTTACAGTATTTTTTTACAGTGTAAGTTTGATTTAGAATTATATTAGTACATTATGTTATATATAAGTATATTAGTATAAGTATATACAATGTATACACAATATTATTCTACTTTTTTTCCTAAAAGATCAAGCCCAAAATTATTCGTACCCCTGGGTTTTCGGGCTTGACTCTATACAGTATATATCATATAGCAAAAAGTAATGCATTTCAAAGCATTTTAAAAATATCTAAATAAATAAATAAAAAAGGGGGAAAATGAAACAAAGTAGATTTGATGCTATTTGTAACACCATGAGTCTAATCTTCTTTAAGCTTTAAATAGCAAAAAATAGTATTGCAAAAGTCTTAACCTGGCCTCCCTGTGGGCAAAAATAATATTAAGAACACTGCCCACGAAATATGGAATAACATGGAAAGCTTATGTATGCTTGGGACCCATCGCTCCACCAAGGCACTTCTGGCCTCTTAATCCTCCTCATCCAGAGGCCCAAACAAGAGCGGACATGCAAATCAAAGGCTAATAAGACACCAACTGGAGGCAAAAGAGTATAAAAGGAAAGTGATACAGGATGAAAAGAAAGAGCTACAAACCTTGACTCAATTATGTTGCCAGATTTTGGTGTTAAAAAAACAGCAAATAAGAACCATAATAATTTAAAATTAGTCAAAGGAATTTATAAAAAAATATTTGAAAATATCACCACCCGCATCTAATAACTCTTGTACATTTGATTGATGTATAAGCCAAGGCTAAATAGGCAATAGAAGCATGGCAACACTGTCAGTGCACACAAAACAAGCCACTGAAAAGACTGTAATTTAGTTTTAGTAAGTCACTTTGACAGTTCACCCAAAAATGTACTCAACCTTGGCTTGATCCAAAAATGTTTGAGTTCCATTATTCTGTCGAACACAATTTAAAATATTTTGAACAATGCTTACATTGCAACCCAGCCTCGTTTTGAATACGTACCCCTATATACATTTCTGAAGAGCACCAAATACCACAGTTATAGGCCGCTGTGTATGCCTTTTTGAGAGAAAAGGAATGACGTGATCAACAAAATGTAGCCATGCGCACTTCTGGCCAAATAATTCACGATTTCCAGAATTATATATAGGTCTACCTTTTTAGAGTAAGCTAATGTTGAGCCATTGACTACCATACTATTTGTTTTTCCTACTTTTAAACTAGAGGACAGTTTTTTCAGCTTTCATCAAAATATTTTCTTTTGTGTTCAACAGAAGAAAAAAAGTTTCACCACTTGAGGGTAAAAAAAAATCAATAAATGTTTTTGGGATAACTATCCCTTTAAATGTGTTTTACTCTCGTGAAAAATGGGTACATTATTATACTATCCAAACAAATATTATAACAATTTTATCTTATGTTCCTATGTAGATTCTAGAGATAGCAGAGAAATACATGAGAAAGATTGCTGAAGTGAGAAAATGAGTTATATAAGTTATATTAAGTTATAATTAATAAGTTATATTTGCAATTACTTAGCCCCTATTAAGTGTAATGTAAAAACATTCAGTCATGCTAATAAACTTGTTTTACTGGGTCATTGTAATAGTTCATTTCTAAATTTTTAGAGCTTCTAGAGATAGCAAAATAATACATGACAGTGAATGATGTAGAAAGTAGAAAAGAGAAACGTTGAAGCTACTGTGGTCTTGAATCGCCACGGCTAAGCCTTAATGGCGGGTGTTGTTTTGCTAAGCCGAGGGTGCCGTTGGTCTGCCGTGACCCTAAGAGGGCAACATTTTGACCTAGGATCAGGGCGATGCCTCTGGGGTGTTGAAGTGGAGATGGAGGTGGGGAAAGAGGAGGAGGGCAGCGAGGAAGCAGAGCAGATGCCAGGGCAATTAAAGGGACCCGGGGAATGTGACGAATGCGGTCAATCTGTCAAACCACCCCTGGAGTCACAATATTACTTCTAAGATATACGGTTGAGCCCTGGAGGAGGCTGCTTTTAGATAAGACCAGGATTCGACACTGCCTGGAGACCATTTAAGGGGAGAAAGCACAACCTGTTTGTTTGTTTTCTGCTTGTGTTTTAAAATGTACTAGGTCTTATTTTATCATGCTCTTCAGTTGTTATGTATTAGAAAATATAATTATCATGTTTGTTATTAAGAAATGTAAACCTTGATCATTCAGTTTAGTTTAATTTAATTTAATTTATTTCAAATGAAGGCGATACAGTGGCGCAGTAGGTAGTGCTGTCGCCTCACAGCAAAAAGGTCGCTGGTTCAATCCTTGGCTCACTTGGCGTTTCTGTGTGGCGTTCTCCCTGCGTACACATGTGTTTCCTCCGGGTGCTCTGGTTTCCCTCACAGTCCAAAGACATGCGGTACAGGTGAATTGGGTAGGCTAAATTGTCCGTAGTGTGTGTGTGTTGATGTTTCCCAGAGATGGGTTCCCAGAAGGGCAACTGATGCGTAAAAATATGCTTGATTCATTAAGTTGGCGGTTCATTCCGCTGTGGCGACCCCGGATAAATAAAAGGACTAAGCCGACAAGAAAATGAATGTTTAAAGTTAAATTAAATTAAATTTTATTTTATTTTATTTTATTTTATTTTATTTTATTTTATTTTATTTTATTATTCATTTACTTTTGGGCTTAGTCCCTTTATTAATCTGGGGTCGCCACAGCAGAATAAACCGCCAAATTATCCAGCACTTTTATTTTATCTAATTTTCATGTTTTCCCCCATTATATATACACTTCCATCCTACAACAGAAGTAGAAATGTTTAGAGGTTTTGTGGAAATTTATAACCTAAAAATGTCTTATAAAAATGTTTTATGTTGCACAACATGCCATTTATAAAACATCAATTAAAGCTTGTGTAAAAATATGAATTTCTAAAAAAATATTAACATGATATTTTTTTCAAACCTCATGTAAAAATATTTTAATTACTTTTTAAATTACTAATAATTAATTACATTACTAAATTTGTTTATATTTTCATTCACTTTCATATTTTGGACTTTTACATTGAAGCTTTCTTGTTCTTTACATAAAAAATTTAAATCATAATCATTGTTAAAAAAAATCTATTAATTGCATTTTAATCCATTTAAAAAAATAATTATACATCGAAACAAAATAAATAAATTTACATTTAAAAAAATAATTAAATTAAATTAAATTAAATTAAATTAAATTAAATTAAATTAAATTAAATTAAATTAAATTAAATTAAATTAAATTAAATTAAATTAAATTAAATTAAATTAAATTCTGATAAAACGAGGATTCCACTCTGCCTGCAGAGAAAAAATGTGAGCGTTTGCCTTATCTACACTTCTTTAAACATTTTAGTTCTTATTTTATATTGTTGGTCTCTGTTACATATTGTATAGTCTCATTTCTTTTTTGGCTTGCCCAGGGGAGGGGTAAACACCTCTGTCCCGCAGCAGACAGAAGTGGGAATGTTTGGAAATGAAACAAGAGAAAGCAGCGTCTGTAGAGTCAGGCAGGCGTTGAGACATATTTGAGCTCAACCTAAGCCAATGCACCAAACAGCTCTATGAAGACAGCCTTTCTCAAAATAGGAAAATGGAGCATTTGTCATTCAGTGGTGTGAGTTTAAATTAAAGAACCTTGAAATGCATTTCAGGTACTCACCAAGGGTACCGCAGGGTTTGTTCTTGTAGGTGCAGATGTCATACCTAAAAGAAAAGGACAATGAACGTGTGGTTATTATATGTGTGATATAACCTTGAAGAATAGTATTTAACAAATACTACTTGGTACTTGATGCAGATGTCTATTTAGGAGGTCTATTTTAATTAAAGTCTGAGTCAAATAAAAATTTTCAGTGTTTATTTTGATAGCAAACATTGTTTTTTAGGTGAACAATTAATCTGTTATTCCATTGATTTTTGTTGTTGTTGTTGTTTTGGTAATCATCAAAGTCTGCCCATTTGTTTCTGCATTTGAAGTGCCATACCTTCTCTGATGCTGTCAGTTTGTCAGTCAGAATATTTTTAACCACACCCCTCTACAAGGAAACCATGCACAAAAAGAAAGCCACGCCCCTTCATACTATTATGTTTTAGTTAGAAGTACATTAACATACTGAAATAAATGTCCAAACTGTCTTTACAAATAATGTCTAAAATATTGACTGGCATAATGGTCTGGTTTGTGTGGGGCAGAAACCCTTGCTGAAGCACACGAGTCTTCATCACTGATTAGCTACACACGATCACACGTGACGCAGAAACCCTTGATCAGTTCTTAGTGCGTTTTGCACGGGTTACTAGGCTAGACAAAGCACTTGCAGGAGACACACTCTTTTCCTCTCCATATGCACAAGACATCTTCTTATAAGGTCAACTTCTTATATTTAAAAAAAAAATGATAATATGTTGAAAAGAGCAAAATTTAAGAGAAACTAAAACAGTCACAGAGAATAAAAACTGTACAAACCATAGAGAGGTTGATTTTTCTAAAATGGACCCCATTTACAAGACACGTGTTATGACGCGTTTAAAATCCTTAAATTCTTGAAAATCTGAAATATTTAGATAAAAAAAAAGTCTGAGCATTTATATGCATTTATGATTGTATTATATCATCTTTGCATCTAATTCCAAAAAAAAAAAAACTAATTACAGCTTATGCAAGGTGTAAATTTGACGTTTTTCTCTCCTCTGGCTGCCGTCCTCAGTCTCACAAAATTTTCCCCCTTTTTCTGAAAGTCTTGATAACACCATTGTGGAGTTTTTATTTTTTTATTTTCACAAATAGAATTGTAAAAAAATAATTTGTTGTATTTTCCTAGTCACTGCGCTCTAAGTTTACCCATCTATGACAACTACCGCTACTGAGAAACCCAGAAAATGTAAAAAGAATCTATAAGAGAATTAAAAATGACATTTAAAGTGAAATAACAAAAACACAGGGAGAGAGAGAGGAAAAACGCTTTGCCATGTTGACCAACAAAGAGCTGCTTGGTTGAAAACTGACTTCACCGTGAGATGTGAACCCTCCTGTATCAATACACAAAATACAATAGGCAATGCTCTTTACTTTTGCTTCTGAATATTTGCAGAAGTTTCACTAATGCACTGTACCTAATGCAAATAAATTCTAAATCTATTACTCTGATTTAAGCATCCACCCTGACTTACTGTCTGCTCATGCTACCTGATTGTTGTTTAGTTTACTTTGTAACCCAAACCCTTTTTTTTCCCCCAATGGGGCCTGTCGTCAGTCGGCGGACATTTTCAATGGCAGGCCTACATGAAAGAATGCCAAATATTTTCTTATTCCCCGAATGGGGCATTTAACACCTCCTGAATAATATCACAAGCAGTTTGGGCTGCTGAGTGTGGCCAGCGGCATGCAGCCAAGCTTTGTTTGACATTGTCTTCAGCACAGAGGAAAGACGCAGTGCCTGATCTGAATCACATTAAACTAGATTTGTGTTTTGCGTCAGGGGCGGCAGTGCAGACGTTATACACGTATCCAGTCAGACTGGTAGTTGGAAAGTTCCTATCGGCCTGCTATTCTGGTGTCGATCTGAAGATATCCATGCACTCTGTTTACTGTGGCAGCTGAAAAGGGTCAAAAGAGCCAAAAAGATCTTTGAATCTGGAAAATCATACTGGAATATTGCAGCCAGAAAATAAATAATCAAAACAAGGGTTTCTTTGTGCTCCTTTGCAGAGTTTATAACCATGTAAGACGCTGCTTATACAATTTATACAAATGTAAAAAAAAATGCAAACTCATTGTGAGATCAAGCTCATGTAAAGTCAATTCAAATCTCTGCAGAAAATATTAGTGTGAGTGCCTGCACATCTTATGAGTAGGGGCCAGGGAGTTGCTACACAATTACTGGATGGATGGATGGATGGATGGATGGATGGATGGATGGATGGATGGATGGATCGATGGATCGATGATTTGATGGGGGGATAGATAGAAAAACAAGGGGGTGGTAGGGGGTGTGGGCAGGTAGGTAGGTACGTGGATGGATAAATGGATGATACACAGACAGACAGACAGACAGACAGACAGAGAGACAGACAGACAGACAGACAGAGAGACAGACAGATAGATAGATAGATAGATAGATAGATAGATAGATAGATAGATAGATAGATAGATAGATAGATAGATAGATAGATAGATAGATAGATAGATAGATAGATAGATAGATAGATAGATAGATAGATAGATACTGTGTTGGTGTTTAATATGGCACACATTCACACAAAATGTAGACTTATGTCACTCCAATTCCTATTTTTCTGGCTTATACTCTACTCTGAATTAGGAGTTAATCCTCTTCCCGAAAATGGAGTTGCTATAACCAAAGTGGTTCCCAAAAATCCTTATTGTAAAAAGATTGAAGAAAAAGCCATTTAAAATATTACAAAACGTAATAGGAAAAAATAAGCATCTCCTCTAAAATTTCTTAGTTTTACAAATTCACTCAACTAAAGGCCAAAATTTTAAATAATAACCTTTACTATACAATGTTGACATTCGTTTGTATTTAAATGTCTCACTGTAATGTAGAGGTATGAGTTTAAAATACATTTCTGAGGTGGTCAAGAATTTGTCACAAATACAGGTAATTAGTTTAACTTTTACTAAGCTGAAAAACTTAAAGCTGTGTTAAAAATATTCTTTAAAATAGTGCCTCAGCGATTGCAACTATAGCATAATATCAGACTGCTAAAGCTTTTGTACTATAACCAGTACATTATTAATAACTTTAAGCCTAAGCAAAACAGCATATTAAACATCAACAAATTAAATAGAAATCCAAATAAGTGTATGACCGACCCACTGTTCTACTGGATGTCTAACTGATTTATACACTGTACGGATAATTTAATAATAATAAAAAATGAATGGCATACACAAAGAATAACGAACAAGGTCTCTGCCTTAAAGAGAGGCTTTTAATGTATTAAAAAACCAAGGAGGATGCAAATTCAATTTGAGTTGCTCCCTCGTCATCCCATGACTCTCAAACCCAGCAGCATTAGGTACTGTCTCATGAACTTGTGTCGAGAAGCTGACCTCATTTGGACATCTATTTATTTTGATTTAGTTGCTTTAATTTCCCCCAGCTCTCTCAATGGATCGGGTTCCAAACAAGCAATATTGCATCCCCCGTCAAGGCTGTGGCCAAAAGTCTAGAGCTGGAAAAACAGCGCTGAAGAGGTCAGAATGAACCGTCCGTCAGGATGAAGAGGCTTCATCACACGCTCTGTCTCCTGCTAATGATTCTTCCTCGTGTACCTGCAGAGATGCTGCAGAGAATGTGGCAAACGTCATCATTCAAAGCTGCTGTCTAAATGTTTACAACTCTGATCCTCCCAATGAGAGAGACGGATAACCACAGGAAATGCTCCAGATGACCTCTGCTAAACTCAAAACAGTAGTATCGCAAATATATGCACATACAATAATGAGAGTCATGCCATTTTTCTCTTGTGAAAGTTCAATTTTGGTAGCTTATGAAAAATACATACATTTTTTAATTTTTTTTAAAAACTATTTTTGCATCTATTTTAATTTGAGAAACTACTGATACAGTTTTAGCTATTTTGTTTTAACTGTTTAAAGAGTTCACTCTTAGCTGATGATTGATTAAAGCATGTTTGGCATGCTGTCCTGGGAAAGAGCCCTGAGCTCATGAGATCCTCAAGCCCGGCACTTCCTCCCGTTGTAGGGCGAGAGGAGAGTTTGAGCTTAGGTAGGTCTCGAGAATTCCGCTGCTTGTTAAGGCGAATAGGAAAAAAGGAACTACTGTGGATAGATATACTACTGATTAAGTGCTCTTCTATAGTGTCAATTTGGTTTGATCAATTTACTTATGTCACATGTTTTGCCTGCGGGAGGGGGGAAAAACCTCGCGAGCACTGGGAGAACATGTAAACTCCCCACAGAAATGTCGACTTGGCAAGGTAAAGACTGCCATTTCGGCCTTTGTCAAGGGAAAATCGGGAGGAGTATGGGGTGGAAGGGGGGATTCTTCAACACAAAGATGGCTAAGGTAAGACGTTGCTATTTATAGTGAGTTAGGCTTCATCTGATTGGTGGATCATACATTAGCTAATGCGAGACTGGCTGTACTCAATCATAATCATGAGCTCCTCTCGAAATTAGTTTATAAAATAAACTTCACTTAGTTTAGTTTGATATTGTTTTAGCAATTAAATCAACTACAACAACTGGTACTTGTGCAAACAATGGGAACAATTTTAGCAAATTTTCAAAACTACAAAGTAAATTTTCACTAACAAATTAGACTAAAATTTTTGCAACAGTTGTACTACAATTTTGAATAATATATAATTAATTTTTTTTCTTGCTGGCTTAGTCCCTTATATTAATCTGGGGTAGCCACAGCGGAATGAACCGCCAACTTATCCCGCACATTTTTACGCAGAGGATGCCCTTCCTGCCGCAACCCATCTCTGGGAAACATCCACACACACACACACACACACACACACACACACACACACACACACACACACACACACACACACACACACGCACACACACGCACACACACACACACATTATGGACAATTTAGCCTACCGAATTCACCTGTACTGCATGTCTTTGGACTGTGGGGAAAACCGGGGCACTCGGAGGAAACCCACGCAAACGCAGGGAGAACATGCAATCTCCACA